CAGCCTCAACCTCCTGGGCTCAAGCGATCCTCCTGCCTCAGCCTACTGAGTAACTAGAACCATTTCTAATTTTGATAGGCATGCCAATTGCCCCCCATGAGAATGGTGTCCCACCATCAATGTACAAGAATATGTTTCTTCAAAATGTCACCAACAAGACCGGGCACAGTGGCTCATGCCTGTAATCCCAGCACTTAAGGAGGCTGAGGCAGGTGGATCACTTGAGGCCAGGAGTTTGAGACCAGCCTGGCCAACATGGCAAAACCCCATCTTACTAAAAACACAAAAATTAGCTGGGCATGGTGGTACACACCTTTAATCCCAGCTACTTGGGTGCCTGAGTTGGGAGGATCGCTTGAGCCCAGGAGACAGAGGTTGCAGTGAGCCGAGATCATACCACTGCACTCCAGCCTGGGCAACAGAGCAGACACTGTCTCAAAAAAACAAAAACAAAACAAAACAGAATCAATAGTGTCATCAAAAATTTTAATCCTTGCCAGCCTGAAATGTGAAAAATCTCAGGGTATTTTTCCATACTTATTGGCATACATTAAGGCTGAGTATCTTTCCATGTTTTGCATTTTCCGTGAAACTCCTGTTTATAGCCTTTGCCTGTTTTGCCACTGTTTCCCTTTTTTGTAGGTGACATTTATTATGGAGATTATCCCTTTGTAGCATGAGATGCAAATATATTTTCCCAATTTGTCATCTATCTTTTGAATTTGCCTAGGATTTTGTTGTTTTGGGATCTTTTGGTTGCGTTTTCTGTTGGTTTTGCCATGCAGAGGTTTAAAATTTATATATATATATATATATATATATATATATATATACACACACACACAAAATCAAATTGACCTCTTTTATGGCTTCTCGATTTTGTACACTTCTCCAATGTGTTTACCTATTTCTTCAATAGATTCGTTTTATTTTACTTTTTAAGACAGGGTAACACTTTGTCACTCAGGCTGGAGTGCAGTGGCTGCACAATCTCAGCTCACTGCAGCCTCAACTTCCCTGGCTTGAGCAATCTTCCTGCCTCCCACCAAGTAGCTGGGTCTACAGGCAAGAACCACCATGCCTGGCTAATTTTTGTATTTTTTACAGAGAAGGGGTTTTGCTATGTTGCCCATGCTGGTCTTGAACTCCTGAGCTCAACCGATCCACCCATCTTGGCCTCCCAAAGTGGTAGGATTCGTGTGTGAGCCACTGTACCCGGCCAATAGATTCATTTTATACATCAAACTCCTAATAGATTTGCAATTTTGGAATTGTTCCAGGTGTGCTGAGTGAGGTATGGAGCTCTATTTTTTCAGGTCAGCCAATTGTCACAACATGAAAACATCTTAGAACAATTCAGGGCAAACCACACATTTCTGCCAATCAGATACAACCCCATGGGCTGCTGTCTTGAAACCTCTTGCTTTGGTGAGCACGAAGTTCACATCCGCTGGCAAAGTGGGAAAGGGGTTGACCGAAGAGCCTTGCTCTTGGGAAAAAATCTGTAGTGACCTTTCTACTGGTGTCCCTGTCCAACATCGACCACAAAAGAAAAAGACTGGCAGGCCTTGGTGGCTCGCGACTGTAATCCCAATACTCTGGGTGGCCAAGGTAGGAGGATCACTTGAGCCCAGGAGGTTGAGACCAGCCTGGACAATATAGCAAGACCCCATCAAAAAGAAAAAAAAGATCAGATCACCCTTTCCTAGGCTGCAGTTACCCTTACCAAGGGGTTAGAGGCCATCAATAGTCAGCAACTGAGGACATCATTGACTGGACAATGGAAACGTCAGGCACTTTGCTTTAATGAGGATGCACACGAAGTCACCTGGCACAAGGACAGTGCAGCCGCTCAGAGGACTGAGGTTGGGGGTTCGTGGCAAGGCGCAGTGTCCCGGCCTTCCTTCCCAGGTGTCTCCAAGTGTCCCTTAAAGCTCATTGTTTGGCAATGCAAATCCTAGGAACTTTGGAATGGCTACTTCCAGTTCATTTGTCACCTTTTCCCCATAGATTTCCCTGTGCAACCTCACCCCTCCTAACAGGACAGAGAGAGCAGCCTCTACTCTCCCATGACTTCTAACTCTGACATGTAAGGGCAGTTCCTGAGTCACTCACTGTTCAGGCCCTCGGATGCCGCTGGTCAACTGAGAAATGCAGCACAATCAACCCTTTCCCCATCGCAGCCGGGGCCCTGCAACAGCAGCCTCCCATTACTGAGAGCCCCTCACCAGTGTGCCCAGCACGCACACAGCTCACCTCGTGTCACCCTCACCACAACCTATCAGGCCAGAGCCATCCTCATGTCTTACCACAGGGGCGGCTGGACTCAGAGCAAGCGAAAAGCCCGGCCCACACAGCTAAGAGGCGTGGGAGTGGACAGTGCCGCCAGGCAGGCTAACCTCAGGGCCATGCTCCTAGCTCTCTGCTTTAGGACACTCAACGTTGCTATGGCTTAATCACATGGGATTTCCTTCCAACTCTCCCCGGCCCCTGTTTCAGGCGCGGGGAGTAGAAAGAAGCCTGGGAGTGCCCAACACTCAGCAGATACTCATCCTTCTGGAAATGAGTGTCCTCAAACGCTTGTCTAAAAACTTAACATTAGCTTCCTCCTTTTTCTTTTTTTTTTTGAGACAGGGTCTCGCTCCATTGCCCAGGCTGGAGTGAAGTGGCACAACCTAGGTTTGCTGCAACCTCCACCTCCCAGGTTCAAGCGATTCTCATGCCTCAGCCTCCCGAGTAGCTGGGACTACAGGGGTACACCACAGCACCTGGCTAATTTTTGTGTTTTTAGTAGAGATGAGGTTTCACTATGTTGGCCAGGCTGGTCTCGATTTCCTGACCTCAAGTGATCTGCCCACCTCGGCCTCCCAAAGTGCTGGGATTACAGGCATGAGCCACTGCACCCGGCCAACTTTCCATCCAACGCATGCTCTCCCTGAGCACACTGGGGCATGCAGAGTGTCCAAGCTCCCTTCGATAAAAACAGTCCCAGCCAATACAACACAGGCATGAGAATGCATGATATACAGTGACACAGCAACAGGGACACCTCCCAAGGTAACACCAAGCCAATGACGCCAGAGACAAGAGATGACACAACATAGGTACACATCCCGTGTGTCCTCTCTATACAGCGCACAGAAACTAGAAACTCCAGCCCATACGGTTAGATGTCAGTATGCTGTCAGCCTGGGGTGGGGGTGGGCATGGGCATGGACCAGAAGGGGGCATTAGGGGGCTACTCAGTGCTGATAATGTTGGTTGGTTGGTTTCTCAGTCTGGTGAGGCTTAAACAGATGCATTCAGTTTGTGAAAAATTTAGTGAACCACTCAGGCACCCCTTTCTGTAAAGTAAATTATACTTCAATAAAAGTTTCTGCCAACACAACATTTTGGGAGGCCAAAACGGGAGGGTCCCCTGAGCCCAGAAGTTCAAGACCAGCCTGAACAATATAGGGAGACCCTGTCTCTACAAAAAATAAAACAAACGTGAAAAGTTGCCAGGCATGGTGGTGCACGTCTGTGGTCCCAGCTACTTGGGAGGCTGAGGAAGGAGGATCACTTGAGCCCAGGAGTTTGAGGTTTCAGGGAGCCGTGATCACACCACTGTACTCCAGCCTGGGTGACAGGAGTCTCATTTAAAAAAAAAAAAAATTGCAAAAGTTACCTCAATAAAAAAATGCTGGCCGGGCACGATGGAGCACACCTGTAATCCCAGCACCTTGGGAGGTCAAAGTAGGAGGATCACCTGAGGTCAGGAGTTCGAGACTAGCCTGGCCAACATGGTGAAACCCCGTCTCTACTAAAAATACAAAAATTAGCTGGGCGTGGTGGTGGGCTCCTGTAATCCCAGCTCCCTGGGAGGCTGAGGCAGGAAAATAGCTTGAACTAGGGAGGCGGAGGTTGCAGTGAGCTGAGATCGTGCCACTGCACTACAGCCTGAGTGACAGAGTGAGACTCCATCTCAAAAAAAAAAAAAAAAAGAAAAGAAAGAAAAATGCTGACTTTTCGAGAAACAAGGGGTCTACCTATATCTTTTAATTCCAAAAATTGTCCTAAACTATTTCCCTGCTTTTCTGTTTTTAATTTAAAAAAAAAAATTTAGCCAAGGTCTCACTTGGTTATCCAGGCTAGAGTGTAGTGGCACAATCATGGCTCACTGCAGCCTCAACCTCCCAGGCTCAAGCAATCCTCCCGCCTCAGCCTCCCAAGTAGCTGGGACCACAGATGTGCACCAACACACCCAACTAACTTTTGTATTTTTGGTAGAGACATGGTCTACGTTGCCCCGGCTGGTCTCAAACTCCTGGGCTTAAGCGATCCGCCCACCTCAGCCTCCCAAAGTGCTGGGATCCCAGGCATGAGCCGCTGCACCTGGCCTCTACTCTCTCTTGCCAGATTCAACATTTTAGGCTTCCTTGAAAAACTTTTTTGGGGGGTGGGAGACAAGGTCTTGCTCTGTTGTACATGCTAGGGTGCAGTAGAACAATCACGACTCACTGCAGTTTTGACCCCCTGTGCATAAGCGACCCTCATGCCTCAGCCTCCCAAGGTGCTGGGATTACAGGCATGAGTCACCTTGGTCACGCAGATTATCTTGAAATTCTAATGCAGGTCTACAGTTCAGTCCTGTATGTGCATAGTGGACTTGGCTGTATGTATGTGTGTGTTCTTGGCTCTTCCAGGAATTCCAGAAATACCCATTACAGGTTGAAGTCACCGTGAGAAATCTGGAGTGTTAGGACAATAGCAGGAAACTCATCTGCATGGGAAGAAATGCGGGTAAACAAGCGTTTGAAGACCCTGGGGGTCCTAATGACCTCTGCATTCTTGCTGGGAATCCAAAGGCCGGGACTATCCCCTCCCCTCAGCTAGAGCCTCATAAACAGATGCCCAGGATCAGACCCTCACAGCTGACACACATGAGGAACCTTCTGGAAAACATTGCCCAGGTGAAAAGGAAACTATCACTCCCCATCATTCTCACACCAGACCAGGACTGCTCTCGACACCTTTATTGGAAGGATCCTCAAGGCTGTGGGCACCGAGGTCTAGAGGCAACACAACCAGCACCCATCCACCTATCCACCCACCACAGTGGCAGAGCGCACCCCGTGCAAAACCCCATCACGGAGAGGACCATGGAGCCGCTGCAAAGCCATCATGGAGAGAAGGAAAGTCCCCACTGTCCATCAGCCCCGGCCAGGCCTGGCCCCTCAACCCCTGTAGAACCCCAGGCAGGCCAACGTGGGAGGCACCACACGTGGGTTCCAACTGCTTCTCCAAACCCTGTAGTCTCACATGAGGCAGGGAGGAAATCTGAAAATGGCAGCAGCCTGGGCGCGGAGGCTGCTGCCCGTGATCCCACCACGTTGAAAGGCCAAGGCGGGTGGATCACTTGAGCCCAGGAGTTTGAGATCAGCCTGGATAACATAGTGAGAGCCCATCTCGACATTTAAAAAAATCTCTTTAAAATATAAAATAAACAGCAATACAAAGAAAAAAAACCCCAAGCTGCAGCATGTACACAATGTCACTTTTCCAGCATTCCTGATGGGAAGACCACAAAGCTCACAGAGGCCGAGGGCAGGTGCGGGGGTGGTGCTGTGCCTCCCTGGCGTCCGCAGGAAAATAGTCCTCCGTCCTGTACAGTGTGGGCAGCTCATACGTCACGGGTACTGGTGCAGGCGACTTCTGGAATGACAAGAAATGGTGCTCTATCGGCAATTTGGATCCACTTGTTCCATGACCCAGGAATTCCCCGTCTACAAGTTCATCCCGCAGGACTCACACATATGACCAAAGACTCTGAGCTCCTCTAACAGCACTGCCTGTGACAGCCAAAGCTGGCCACCCAAAGGGACCAAGACATCCATGTCATGCCCTCTCCATAACGGAATACCCTGTAGGCATCAAGAAGAGCCAGGCAGCCCAGGCACAGTGGTTTATGACTGTAATCCCAGCACTTTGCGGGGGCCAAGGTGGGCGGATCACTTGAGGTCAGGAGTTTGAGGCTAGCCTGGCCAACATAGTCAAAGCCTGTCTCTACTAAAAATACAGAAATTAGCCAGGCGTGGTAGCGCACACTTGTAATCCCAGCTACTTGGGAGGCAGAGGCAGGAGAATTACTTGAACCCGGGAGACGGAGGTTGCAGTGAGCCGAGATTGTGCCACTGCACTCCACCTGGGCAACAGAGTGAGACAATGTCTCAGGGTGAAAAAAAAAAAAAAAGAGCCAGGCAGATCAATATGTTCTGGCAGAGAAGGACTAAGAAAGCAAGGTGAGAAGGGCAGACATGTGACAAAGGGACCTGTACCGACACGTGACAGCTCTGCAGGGCCATCCCAGAGCCTGGGTACAGTGGCTGTGGTTGGTAACATGATTTTTTTTTTTTTTTTTTTTGAGACAGAGTCTTGCTGTGTCACCCAGCCTGGAGTACAGTGGTGCCATCTTGGCTCACTGCAACCTTCGCCTCCTGGGTTCAAGCGATTCTCCTCCCTCAGTCTCCCAAGTTAGCTGGGATTATAGGCGTGCGCCACCACGCCCAGCTTTTTTTTTTTTTTTTTTTAGTAGAGATGAGGTTTCGCCATGTTGGCCAGGCTAGTCTCAAATGCCTGGCCTCCAGTGACTCGCCCGCCTCAGCCTCCCAAAGTGCTAGGATGACAGGTGTGAGCCACCACGCCTGGCCAGGACTGATTTTTCTTCCACTGTGTACCCATCTGTGCTGCCTGGAGTTCCTGCCATATGCATGTGCTACTCTTTCAAAAAACAAAACCATTTTAAGAAGTGCTTCCTCATTTCTGGTGAGGATTTTTGTGGAGGGAGGCGGGGAAGGGGAGATTTCCCATTGAGCCGCTCACTGCGCGCTGGCTGGCGGGCTCCTGCAGGCTGCCGAGCGTCTCCAGGAAAAACCAGGTTACCAACAACCACCCGGAATGACGGCTCTCAAACTTGGCCATGCGCTGGAATCTCCTGGGAGTTTTATGAAATACTGATGCCCAGGGCCCACACCAGGGAGTCGGATGTCACTAGTCTGGGGCATGGCCTGGGGGTGGGACATTTCACAGCTCCCAGGTGATTCTCGTGCAGAGTCCAGGCTGCAAGGACCGTGGCCTGCACCAGAGGAAGGAGAGGGCTCCTGGGCTGCTGTTCCTGGTTGGAGCTGGTGGAGATGAGCAAGGATGCAAGGCCAAGGGGGACAGAGGGAGGGGACCTTCTCACCACCCCCGACCCTGTCCCCCAGCTCTCTGCACTGTCTCATCTCCTGGCTACCTCTGCCCACTCTGGCTGAGACCCAGTTCTGGCTACAGCTGAAAGCTGGGTGCCAGTGCAGGGATATGGGCTCCAGACTGTGGCCAATGACAGCTCCCCAACTGCCAGACACCTTTGCAGGCCCCTTCCCGTGCTCCCTGCTTCCCTTCCCTCCCCTCCCTCTGCACTTGACACCATGACCCCAGTGCAGAGGGGGAGATCAAGGCTCAGGAGGTACCCTGCCCCAAGTCACACATCCTCCAAGCATCTGTCCACCAGCAACTGACTTACAGGGCACCAGGCCAGCCCTGTCCTGTGCGCTGAGGAGACAGCCATGAACAAGACAACCGTCCCAGCCTTCATGGGGCATGGCACTCACTTAGTGGGGACACAGATGAACCAGGAGAAACAATGCCACCCTATGATGTGGGCTAATGGCAGGATGGGCACAAAGGCCTGGGGAACCCAGATGGGGCCTCAGCTCATCCTAGAGGGTTGGGGGAATTTTGGGGGCTGAGCTGTCTAGAACCTTCACAGCCTCAGCAGCAGCTGGCCAGGAGTCAGGAGAAGTGGGGTATAGCGGTGCCAAGGGCCGGTGTTCCAGGCCGAGGGAACAGCCTGCGCTGAGTGGCTGGGGTGTAGGACTGTGGGGATCAGCGCGTAGACAGGGAGGAAGCCAGACAACGGGCCGGGGCCACCTGCGCTCACTCTTGCAAGCCAAGCTATAACCTTGATCCCAGGAGCACTGGGGGCCTTTAAAGCTCCCAAGCGGGAGGCTGTGTGTGTGATGAGGTCTGCGCTTCAGGAACAGCAGGGAGAGAATACACTCTAGGGGCGAGAGTGGAGCCACGAGGAGGCTGTTGCATGTGTCCCCCGAAAGTGAGAGTGGCTAGGTAATCACGTCTGGGCTCCAGGGCCTTGACTTCCCACCATACCACACCGAGCCTGTTACAGAAGGGAGCCATCAAAGGATCTTACATAAGGTGCAACACGCTCTGACGTCTAGGGACCTCATCCCAGCCTGCGTCACCACCTCCGCATCTGGAAAACCAGGACAAGTGACGCAACTTGGCCAAGGGTGAACCTCACACACGGCAAATGGAACGTTCTGCCCAGCCAATGCTCAGCCACTCTTGGCTCAGCCTGCTCGGGGATGACTCGGGAGATGAGGCCTATTCCCACCTGCCCCTCTTCTCCTAGCACGTTCCCGAGCTATCCCTGCCTCTGTGGGTCAGTGGACACACGTCCCCCTGATGGCACTGCAATCAGAACACAAACAGGAGCTGAGCCACAAGATACATCTCCAGCCAGAGGGCTGCGGCTGGTGGGTACCCACAGGTGTGGGATTTCACCCTCTTCCTTTTTAATGATGGCCTGAGAACTGGCTGTCATAGTATCTAGAAAATGCAACATTCGGCCGGGTGCAGTGGCTCAAGCCTGTAATCCCAGCACTTTGGGAGGCCGAGACGGGTGGATCACGAGGTCAGGAGATCGAGACCATCCTGGCTAACACAGTGAAACCCTGTCTCTACTAAAAAATACAAAAAAATAGCTGGGCGAGGTGGCGGGCGCCTGTAGTCCCAGCTACTCGGGAGGCTGAGGCAGGAGAATGGCGCAAACCCGGGAGGCGTAGCTTGCAGTGAGCTGAGATCCGGCCACTGCACTCCAGCCTGGGTGACAGAGCCAGACTCCGTCTCAAAAAAAAAAAAAGAAAAGAAAATGCAACATTCAAGTGAATCATGGGAGTTCAAAGCCCACCCCTCTCATCCTGACACATGACTAGGAGCCAAAGAGTGTTCTGTGATCTGAAAAGAAACGGCCCTTCTTCTCCTGGTCCTGAGGACCCAGGCAAGGGTCAGTGACCAGGCCAGGCCAGAGCCAGTGTCCAGCCCAGCCAGGCGGCCTCTCCTAGGCCAGCTGGGCCTCATCTGAAACCCCTGTTCCTTTCTGAAATGGTTCTATGAAGAAGGATGGAGTTTCTGTCTCCTCCCTCAAGGAGATGGATTCTAAAAATGGAGGAAAAATCAATATCCTTATGAAGAAGCCAAAGAGAAGGAGTGGTGAGAGGCTGCTGGCAGCTCTAGATGTGATCGTATCTTCAGGCCTGGAGAGAACTAATGCAAGGAACTCCCAACAATCACATCCCTCCTGGTGACAGAGGGGAAAGGTCCTCCCTGAATTTGGACAAGGGGGTCGCAAGGAGACAAGCTCTGTCGGTGTCTGGCCAAACGTCACAATGGATTACTGAACAGCTGTTTCCTGTGCACTCAGAAAGGAAGTCAATCACTAGGAGCCCTCAGGGGCTCCACGGAGAACAAGCATGCTTTCCCTTTTCAGGAGGGCCACTGCTCTGGAAGACCAGACAAAAGGCTGCAGAGGCTGGTGCCGCTCCACATCCACTCAGGCCCAAGCCTCACACCTGGGAGGACATGCTGGAGACACGTGGGTGAGTAACCACAGCTCTTTGGAGAATGGGGCTCAAGTCAGCCAGGCAGGAGCAGAGGGGCATGAGCCAGGCAAGGGGCAGAGGGGCATGAGCCAGGCAAGGGGCAGAGGGGCATGAGCCAGGAAGCTCAGGTGTTTCCTCTTCAGACCAAAACACAGTCTTGGAGAACGGTGGGCATGGGTGGGCGCTGTATCAGCCTGTCTGTCCACTTCCCCTTGGGGTGCTAGCATCTTGATTTTATTTTATTTTTGAGACAGAGCCTCGCTCTGTTACTCAGGCGGGAATGCAATGGCGCAATCTCGGCTCACTGAAGCCTCCGCCTCCCGGGTTCAAGCGAGTCTCCTGCCTCAGCCTCCCGAGTAGCTGGGATTACTAAAGGCGCCCACCACCACATCCGGCTTATTTTTTTGTATTTTTGTAGAGACGGGGTTTCACCACGTTGGCCAGGCTGGTCTTGAACTCCTGACCTCAGGTGATCTGTCCGCCTTAGCCTCCCAAAATGTTGGGATTACAGGGGTGAGCCACCACGCCCGGCTGCATCTTGATTTTTCCAAGGGATCCCCTCGTGCCCAACTCCCCATCTAAGCAGATCCCCACCCCCTCCACAGCTCAGGTTGGGGCTAAGAGCAGGCCCAGCCCATGTGAGCAGCTCACCCTCCACCCACGGAGGTGAGTCCAGGAGTAAGCATGTGACAAGGCCACTGCGATTCTTGCTGCTGGGACAGGGATGCTCTCCCCAGAGGTTCCTGGGAGTTCAGGTGACGGGCCACTCCTGCCACCCCACCAGGGGCCCGCCTGAGAATGAAACCCGCGCAGAGGGATGCAGAGTTGGAAGACAGCGCAAGACAGAGTCCTGCCAATATCACTTTGAGCACATGAACCCTATTTTGCTGAAGACTGGAATTACCCTGGGGCTTTTCCTGTTCATGAGCCTCAAAATTCTCTTCTTCCTTTAAGCCACACTCACCAGGGTTGCTTGTAACTAAGAGTCCTGCC